CTCTCTCTCTCTCTCTCTCTCTCTCTCTCTCTCTCTCTCTCTCTCTCTCTCGCTTCTCCCTCTCCCCCTCTGCCTCGGCTTGTTTCACTCCTGTCTTCATTTCTTTTTTTTATATCTCTGCCTTACGTCGGCACCTACTTCTGTTACCTAAAATGACATGATTTACGTCGATTTGAGCCTAAAACGTTATCGTCAAAGCAGCTGGCGTGGGTGGCTGACGGGTTCTCTGGTGTGGCTTGTTCCTTCTTTCCTCAAACATCCATCGCGCGCTCTGATCTACAATAATGATGTATCTCCTCCTCCTTTTTTTTCCTGTGTTTGTTACTTGCTGGTAACACCTCTAATCTGCCTACCCCCCGGGGCAGTGCCACTGACTGAAATGTCTTTAGGCCATTCCCAAAGGGGAGACATTTCTCGTTCAGGCATAGTAGAATTGTAAATGGGCTGGTTCATGTCACACTTATAACTGTGCCAGATCTGCAAAAGGGAACTGCTGCTTTTTCTTTCATGATCCTTACTATTGTCATTTTCCTCTACTTCTTTTGTATGTTTGTCACTCCCTTGTGACCTGCTATTTTGGGATGCATTGATAGTCGAAGCAGACTTTGTGCTGTTGAAGCTAGAGAGGTGAGCAGTCTCAAGTCTGATTCCCTGTAAGGACTTCTCTGTTGACACCCACCCCTTGGCGCTCACATGACCTTATGCAGTTGCGAGCGCCGTAAAAACCCTCTACTATATAAAAAAAATAAGAATCTTCCGCACTTATATAGTATATGACCTTATGGCATTGCACGTGCCGTCAGTCACTTACTAAAACAAAACAGTCTGCCTCCTAAATGACCTAATTTAGAACTTTCCATCCCTCCCTCCCTCCCTCCCTCCCTACCCAGACTCCTTCTGAGCTTAGGTAGTGAGCTCTTCTTCCTTTCTCCCTCCACACCAAGAACCTGAAGCTTGACGTGGGCACCTACCTAATACTGTAACACTAAATTACCTCATTCTTATAGATTTTGATGTAAAAGTCTAACCTCTCCTCCACTCCCCCCCCCTCCCTCCCTCCCCAGACTCCTCCTAAGCGGAGGTAGTGAGCTGTTCTTCCTGCGCATCATCCACACCAAGAACCTCAAGCCAGACGTGGGCACCTACTACTGTAACGCCACCAACATACACGGCAGCGCCATCAGCAGGAACGCCTCTCTGGAGATCGCTGGTGAGTCGCTGTTTGTTTGTTTGTTTGTCCGTTTGTTTGTTTGCTGGCTTGTTTGTGTGCGAGTCCCTTTGTTTGTCTGTTTGTTTGTTTGTGTGCAGCTTTTAATGTGGTTTTATCTTTCTTCCCTATTAAACATCTAGGGTCCTCATAAATCTCTCCCCCTTCTGTTTTGGGGTTTGCTACTCTCTTGTAGCACCTCTAGTCTTCGGCGCTTATTATGCAACCTAATTATGTTGCAAGTGCTGTGAAACTTTTACGAAAACTAAACTAAAAGTGCCACCCCCCCCAAAAAAAAAAAAAAAAAATTAAGCTAAAAAACCTAACAAAAAAAGTTGGAATACTTGTGGCGGCCCAGGCTTACCCTGGCTCTACTCCCAGCGACCTCCTGAATGGTTTGGGTTTGA